ATGGTAGGTACATTGTCAATGATTAAAAAAATTCTAAACATATACTATATTATAATTATTTCGTACTATTAAAAAAATAAAAGAGAAAAACTAAATAGAGGAATATAAAAAGGAAAAATAGTTAATATATAAAAATTATCTTAAAGTACATTTTAATTAATAAGTGACATAATAGATAAAAATGTTTTACAATTAGACCTGATAAATTTGACCAATACATAATTACTCGAACCGATTTACTCGATTCGAGAACTGAATAAAATGACCTAAAATTTATACGAAATTCGAAATAAATTAAATCAAACTGAAATCGACCCAAATTTTAGTCGAACCGAAAGCAATCCAAACCAAAATTAACCCGAACTGAAAACAATCCGAAATTAATTTATCCATATCTGATCTAAATTGAACTTCGACCTGAATTTAACCCAATAATTAAGTCTAAGTAAATGAATAATTTATTATTATTGTTATTATCTATTTTTAATAATTTGATCAACAGAAAAATAATGTATATTTTATTCCCATTTTGTATTATACTACAAGTTAACCATCAATCTATTACCTTTAGTAATAGTTGAATAATTTAATATAACATTTTCTCATTTAAAAGATCATCTTTGTATCTGATCCAATAACTTTTAAATTATTTAAAATATATTTATATCAATATTCATTAAAATATAAATATTATATTATTTTTTAAAATTCAATAAATATTATATTTATAATTAGACATCAAACAATTGAGAATAAAATCTATATTTTAAAATTTAATTATTCGTCAAATAGATTGCACCACAAACAGTTCAAGTTAGATCAATATGAAATTCATGTAACAAAATTTAATGTCTTATAAGTTCGGGTTAAATTGTCCTCCATAAATGATAGTGTAATTTGAAACATTTAATTTTAAAAGTTGAACTTGAACCTAATAAGATTGACAAACAAAAATATTTTTTTCTTATAAGAATATATCAATAATTTTATATATAATTGATTTGGTTCATGCTTATAACTCAACCCGAATTGACCCGAAAATCTAAAGATTTATCTGAATCGAAATTGTTCAATCCGATCTTGACTCGACCAAAAAATCAACCGATTCGATATCGATTAGACTCGACTCGAAAACTAACCGATCCCGTATTGACTCGAACAAAAAACCAACCATATTGATATTAATCCGACTTGACTTACCATTGACCCAAATTAAAACCGAACCCGAAATGACCCGATCCGAATCAAATCTCAAACCAAAATGACCCGACCCAAAATGACATGACTAGAACCCGATCCGAATAACCCATTTGTCACCTCTATTTACAATACGTTATATAATTAAGTTTAATTTAATATGAAATTTTAATTATTGAAAAGCAATTATCTGACCCTTTATGAGAGAAAGTATAGGTTGATCAAAAGATAAAAAAAACAAAGAGTGACAACGACATGAAGAAAAATGTCACATAATGTTTAAAAATAAATAAATAAATATTCGTCAAGCGATTTCGGAGATTAAAACAAGCATTGATTTGTTTCAAAAATCTAAAATTTGAGCAATTTTTTTACAAGATGTATCCTAATAATGATTATTTTTGGGTATCTACTATCTTCCCTACCTCTAATAATATATATAATTACACAAATCAAATAAAAATATAAATCTTAGAAAGTTTAAAGACAAAATATGGGTGAACATAAAATCTTTTAAAAAAATGTATTTGTTTTATCATTGTGACTATTTAATAAATTCAAAATATAATGGTTAATTTAACGTATCAAAAGATAAAATAAAATTTGAATATAAATGAAATAATCTGGCAAACAACATAATTACTTGGATAAGGCTTAATATATAAAGTATACTGTTTCTTTTAAATCATTATTAAAAAAAATTCGGACAACCTAGATATATAACGTTACAAACATTATTACTTTAATTGTCTCGTTCATAACAACTATTAAAAACCCTTTTAAGTGACATGTTTTGTTATAAACAAACAGTTAAAGTAATAACATTTTACGTATCTCGTTAAGATAATTTTAAAATTTTTATTTTTAAAAAAAGTAAATTTATATTTTTTAAAAATTCAAAAATTTTGAAAAACTTTACCGATCACTGCTCTTTATCGTCGACGAACCTCTACATGATACTAATGGCCCCCATGAAAATCTATCGGAAAAGAAGCCAATCGACGTAACCCCCGCCGAATCTCAACGATACAAATTTTGACCCCACGCGATCTCGACAGTCCATCGACAACAAAAATAATGATGCCTGATAAGGATGATGTCAATGATCTAAAGATTTAGATTTTTTAGAGATTTGAGGGTTTTTGTAATTTAATATAAATTAAGGTATTTCAAATATAATATTTTTTAAAAAATTCAAAATTATTAGAATGAATTTGTCACATGTCACTTGATGAAAATTTTTAACGATTATTACGGTCGTGACACTTAAAGTGATAATATTTGTAACATTAGATATTTAAATTGACAAAAAAAATTAAATATCATTTTAAAAATATATATATAATTTAAACCTTTATTTTTATATTAGTCCTTTGGATAAATATATTATTGATTAGTAGCTTATTTTCATTTATTTTATCAAGTTTTTTTTTGGATAATTATTATTTTTATCAAGTTTTGTTAGTTAAGTCCCCTCTCATATATACATATATTTTCAATTCTCCCTTTCCAATATATTTAGTCTTTCTTTTCTATATCCTTTCATAGTTTTCTCTCTCCGGAAAGGCCAAAACCCTAAAGAAGCGTTATACCCCAAGTAAGTGTTCTCTCTCCTCTCACTTCCATCTCTTTTCTTTCCTTTTTTTTTTTTTTGCCTCTTTCTCTCTCTGCTTTCTCTTTCCAACAATTTTGAATATATGGGTCCATACTTCTTTGTTGTACTATTATACCTTTCGTATATGATTTCTCTTTACTTGTTTGTTTGAGCTCTGAGGATGATTTTTTTATGAAAGAGATCTAATTTTTTTTAAAAAAAAAAATCAGCTTTCCTCTTCGAAAGCTCCTAAATTGCAATAAAAATCCATTCTTTTTATTCTAAGTTATTTTAGCTATATTTTTGTTAGATCTGATTATGGGTTTTGATACATGTAATATTTGGATCTTTGGTAAATGTGAGGAATTAGGAATTGGTTTGGATCTGAAAGTTTCCATTTTTATGTTTTGTACCTATAGATTTCGATTCTGCTGCTTTGCAATCTTAGATTTGTTTTCCATTTCTGCTAAATATATTTTCTTCTCTATAGATTCCATGTCTCGGATCTGAGAAAATGTGAAGGCTGCCATTATGAATTTCTTTTATATAACCATATACTATCTATTGATCTACTAGTCTGGATCGGATATTGTATGGATCCATTATGGGATGACCCTTTCAACTCTGTGTGCTCCATTCACAACGCGAATGCGCGAAATTGTTTAAGGAATTTAGTGTCTCGTTAGGTCATTAGATGAGTTTTTCGTCGGATTTAGAAAGGTAACATATTTTGTTGCTTTTACTACTACTTTATGTGAACGCCATGAGATTCTTGCCTTGGTTTGCGTTTGAATGTTTCCATTTTCATCGACTTTCATGAGTTATAAGAAATGAGAATGTTAGCAGGATTTGAATTGCGTTGATGGAACAAGTCGATTCACGGCTAAATTTATTCTGTTTGTGTTGTTGCCTACATGTTGTAGCTTCATGGATGACGATGCATTGAAAATGCGTAATTGGGGTTACTATGTACCATCTTTTAAAGGAGATCTTGGTCTTCAGCTCATGACTAGCATGGCTGAGTGGGACACGAAACCGTATATTCCCGGGCGTGATCCCGATCTCATGGTCACTACTGGTGCGGCCTTTCACCCAAGGGACTGCATTGTTTCAGAGGGACCTATCCCCATGCATTATGTTAGGGATACTTGGATTAGCCAGAGAAAAGTTTTTCAACGTGATGCAGCCGTGACTGCTCCTAGTTTTGGCATTCTTCCTGAAACTTAGGCATCTCATTCGTTGCCAATTTTGCAGCCACCGCTTCCTGATCCTTCAACAGGAGATGGGAGGGTGGTTGGTAGAATTGAAGATCCACTGGTATGTAATGAAGCTGCCAAATTGAAGAAAAGGCAGGGCGAGAATGGCCCTAAGACACCAAAGGCTAAAAGTCTAGGAAGCCCAAGGATAACAGTAATTCTACCATTCAACGTGCGAAGCTGCCAAAGAAGAGTATGGATATTAAGATAAATGGGTATGACATGGATATTTCCGGTATTCCGGTTCCGGTTTGCTCATGCACTGGAACCACCCAGCAATGTTATCGATGGGGCTGTGGTGGTTGGCAATCTGCCTGTTGCACCACAAATGTATCCATGTACCCTTTGCCAATGAGCACCAAAAGGCGTGGAGCAAGGATAGCTGGCCGGAAAATGAGTCGGGGGGCATTCAAGAAGGTCCTCGAGAAACTCGCTGCTGAAAAGTATAACTTCAGTGAACCTATCAATTTGAGGAGTCATTGGGCTAGACATGGTACCAACAAGTTTGTCACTATCAGGTAGAATCAAATTGGCAGTAGTGATAGCGGGACTCCATCGCAGATGGTCTGCTTTACGTGTATATATCTCTATGGCCGTTTGCGGAGATCTTTGATGAATTTTCTAAGTCATGGCAATGTTATAAAATTCGAACATCATTAGCTTTTTCATTTAAGATTTTGTGCTTTAAGAACATCCGTTTGTTTTGGTCATTGACATTGAAGTTGTGGATGAGTTCTTCATTTTTGTAGGGTAATCTCCTCTCTTCCACTAGGCAATTGTTATAAAAGAGTGTTATTAATGTACATAATGATTATAAACAGATACACAGTCAACGGGTACAAGAGGTACTAGATCCTTAGCGGCATAACAGTTTTGACTTCATTAGAGAAACAATATAGTTGTTCGTTAATAATTAATAAAACTCGAGTACTGATACATGTGTATATACAATACAAACATGCATGCATGCATAGACATTAAAATATAAGCAAAATCCAGGAAACATGAAAACAAGGTCAGTAATACTACTATAAATACCATCAATACAAACACATTAACACCACAAAACAAAAACAAGTTAAAACACAATTTTCAAGCTAGTTTCTTTTCTATCAGTGTTGTTCTCCCCCTCTCCTCCAAGGCAAATAACATAGTTCTGCTAGTCTGCGCCATTGAACATCGCCTGTCCTGTTCGATTCACAATGCATACACTAATCTACAATACCCTTTCTTTCACATTCACAACACATGGCCCCGCTGCTATAATCCAGTCTACGCTTATTGCAACTATAACATCCTATAACCTCTTCCTGCAATTAAACAAAATTTCTTTTAAGAGACAAAACAGGTAAGCGTTTAAAGTAGCATAAGCAAAACATACCGTGTTTCGGAATTCCTTAGCAATGTGGGGGGGATCCCAGCTCCGAATCACAAACTGATGTGTATGTAGAAACTGTATCTTCCTTTGATATGGCCACAAAGTTCAGAGGTGCTGTAGACAACCTTCTCATTTCCTTGAAGTAGCCATTTTGACGTCCCGAGTATGATCGTGGTGTAAGTAGCTCAGGTGTTGCTCCACCCACCGAGTTCCGACGTGGTGTACTGGGAGTCATTGATCCATTTCCATTTGCTCGATAACCATTTGTCTTTCTGAAGCTGTTACTTCTCCTTGGACTAGGTTTGGACCCATAAATGGCTTCTCTCTCTGTCAGAAGCAGATCTTGGATCTTCTTCTGATCCTGCAAAATGGAATAGGCCAGAAAATGTTTAGGAATGTATTAGTTGTATAGATAGATGCTAATATTCGATGCGAGCCGCTAGAAAATGGCATTCATCATACAAAGATCATATTTAATAAGTTAAAAAAGGGGAAGATAACAGAAAAGGATAGGAGATCTAAGGGAGTGTCAATGATATTTACCCTGCATCTCTTCTTTTCCTCCTCTCTTTGTTTCCTTGTCAGTTTGTAGTCTTCCAGTATCGACACTAGTCGTACCTATTTTACAAACAAGCTTATTCAGAAACAATTCTAAACGATAACGGTTGTCTGAGTTTCCAGAAATTTGAGCTGCAAAAGTGCTTACCCCATCATACAGAAACAATGTCTTTTTTTCTTCTTCCCAAGCTAGTGTCCGGTTGATCAGATTATCCACAATTGCTGCAAAGGGTATCCTTATTAGCTCAACAATCCAAATGTATATGTGAGAGAAAAGAATGAGCACAAATACCAGGAATTTTGGTTACAGTCACTCGGGCTTTTTCGGCACGTTTAAGGTTTATATGTGCACCTCTCCCCGCATTGTACCGATTTTCATCCTGAAACTCAAAATGAAGATTAAACAACTAATGCTTTAAAAATTTATACAGAAAAGACAAGGTGAATCAAAAACACTGGTCAATGTACTTGTATTTAGTTTGACTTACGGATTAGTCTACAAGCAATATTGAAGAGAACTAAGATTGGGAGAATACATGAGATACTCATTACGTTTGCTTACTTGATTGTAGTCATCAAGCCAATTTTCTTCTTCACATGCCGCAAGCCAACGGTCTATTCTGTCCATTATTTCTTTTCGACTCAAAGCTTCATCTTTAGCCTTAGTAATCTGTGTTTCAATGTTTGCTAAAAGTTCTGAAGAGTCTACAAGACCTGAACAACAATAGCAATATCCATCACTATGTCACCAGCAAGTAAAATCAAACAAAAAATTGTCTAAATGCAAGACACTGTGGCAAGGAAACAAGAGACAAATACCAGAATCAATCAATGCATTAGATTTCTCGACAGCAGTACTTGCATCGGGTTCAATATGAATCATTCTGCAAATATCTTCCAATTCTAATCTTCTTTTCAGAACAAGTTCTTTCATTCTGCTAGCTTTCAATTTGGAAAGCCTCTCCACTTCGGCTGATGCCTGTCGAAAATATAAAAAAACTTGAGCACCTACATTCCAGTAGTTAAAAAAAAAACAGATTACTATCGCTATCAAACCTGTTCAATCATCTCGGTTGAAAGAACACCTGGTTCTGTGACTTCATGTTCCGCTAATCTAATAATAGAAGTGGCCCTTGAAAAACCATTCCTCTCGGCTTGGGGGGAATCCATCAAGTTCCAGAGGTCAAATAGTTGGCCCGCAAGATCTCTCAACTTCATTTCAAAAACTGGTTTTAGATTCAAATTTTCACAAGAAAAAACTATGAAAGCTGGGAAAGGATATAGAATACCTTCTGGATTCGGGTTCTTCTTTCCGTTTTCAGCTTGTTAATGGTATGCTCTAAACCTTCAAATGTACCATCGCTGATATTCGTTGATTGTTCCTGGGTTGTCCTTTGCAAGCTGGGATGCACATCACTTACAGTCCGGGCAAAATCCAACCCTAGTACTCCACAAAGTAAATGCACCTCATTTACATATTCCAAAACCTTATGAAGACGATCAGACTGCAAAATGAAAGATAATGCTTAAAATAAATTTATGAAATCCGTTCAAAGAATTAAATATGCCACTAACATTCCATAAAAGCATATGAACCTTGCACCCAAGATCAGCTATGCATTATGGCCATAACTTCTCCTGATTGTTTTGTATAAATTACGGTCCGATGCGCAAAGGGCATATTTATAATCATAGTGATATACAAATTACGGTCCAACATGCAAGCATCAAGGAACTTCACAAAACATTCTTTCTGTAAAATCCGTACCTTCTCCTTCTGAAGAGTTTGAAGGCGCGTCTGAAATTCAGTAAGCCTTCTTAGTGACAAGTCTTGGTCTTCAAGAGTTAAACAGCTAATCATTGTATTATTTGGATAGTTATAACCAGAAATTTCTCCACTGATCTTTTCAATTTGATTCTTTATATCTTCAAATTGCTTTATTCTTTCTTCTTTCTTCATCCTTAGATAGTCAAGCAGTGGGGTGATAGAAGTGAGTTTTTCTTTTAATGATGCCATCTTATTCTCTGTCTGTATCTGTAAGTAATAAATTAGAAACAAAATTAGCGAAGTGCTACCACATAGGAAATATATGAAACATGCCAGAGAATTCTATTCACCGGTGAACGAATATTGAGTTCCCCAAGAGCTGCCACAAGTGTTGCAACCTCAGCTTCCTTGGCAGCAACAGATTGATGTAGACGTGCCTTGGCATTGGCAGCTTCCTCAACCTTTCGGCGGTAGACTTCTAAGCATTCCCTCTCCAATTCCAAAAGCATTCGGTCTTTATCAGCTTCACTCTCACCAATGTCACTCCATATTTGCTGCTCTCAGGACAAAAAGAAGAACATTAAAGAGTTGAAGTGTGCATGGGTTTTTTTTCAGAATTGAAATTCGGAATCTTACCAGCTTGCACGTGAATTGGTTAAACAAATTTAAGGAAAACAATGAAAAATTAATCCCAATCAATAACAAAATCATCATCCTTAGCACAACTTATTTCCACAGTTGGTCAAAACATCAATACATATATAGAGAGAGAGGGTTATACCTATGTATGCATGTATGTATATTTGCTTAAAGAAAAGGCTAATTAATTTACAAATCCCATCAAGTTATTGTACCGAAAACTTCATTAATCATCAGCACCCTCTACCCCCCATGAACACTGAAATAGAAGCATCAAATACAGAGATTAATGTTCTAAGAGACCGCAATAAGCTAAGCCTTTAGAGTCCAAGGAAGAGAGTAGAAAATTAAAACTAGAAGAGATGATAGAACGATAAAGTCTCATTAAATTAAGAGATTCAAACAACCGTTTGGAAACCATAGCTAATCTACACAATTTGAGGGGAAAAGACTGAATTTCAGTAACAGATCAGTGGCACGGGAACGCCTTTTAGTATTAAAACAGATTAATAAAGATTATATTTCACTTTATGCACTCAAAAAAGGACCTAAAGAGACCTTCAATTCATAGCTCTTACTAGACTCATTATGATACATGAATTAAGGAATTAGGAAACAATAAATGCTTTTAACTTTTAATTTTTAACAAGGACATTAACTTTGTCAAACATCCATCATTGTAAGGGGAAAAAGGACCAGTTTCCAAATATGAAAAACCCATTTCCTTCCTTTCTTCCCCCCAAAGACCAGCGTTTACAAGGAAGAAGAAACTTAAAAAAAGAAAAGAAACTTAAAAGTAACAATAATGAAGAATGAGGGTGGGAAAAGGAGAAAAGCAAAGGGAACCTGAAGTTCTCTGAGCAATACATTGCAGCTTGTGCTTGTACGAGCACTGGTGGCTAAAGGACTTCCAATGGCCAACATTTTCACAGATCTCTCTCTCCCCCAATTATTCAGAAACCAAAATTTAAAGTGAAACCCAAGAGGGAAAGAAAAAGGGAACACTCTTTAGTCGGTTCTCAGAAGCAAAGTTCGAGAGAGTGAAACTCAAAAGAAAGAAAAAGAAGGAAATGAGTAGAGATGAAAAGGCAAAAGAGACATCGCTTTGAAACAAACAAACTCAGCCTTCCTTCAGATCTGAAAAGCTTCAAATCAAAACACCCAACAAATGTTTTAACACCAAACCCCCTTCTTTTTCCTCTTCGAGAGAGTGCAGAAAACAATAACACCCACCCACCAAAATATATTTTAGGATCTGTAAACAGAGAAATTATGGTGAAGTTTTTCTCTTTTGGGTGTTCTTTTCTTCCTCAAATTTTTTGGTGAAGAAAAAGATAGCAGAGACAACAATAATTGCTAATAAAGAAAGAGGAATTAAGCTTTAAAAGTCACTAAAAATATGAGCTCTAAAAGAATGGGTTTGGATTAAAATCTCTAGGGTTTGTCAAAAATGAAAATGTAGCAGCTTAAAACTCAAAAACAGATTATCAAAGAAGAAGAAGAAGAATGAAAGATCTGTTTTTTCCTTTTCTTTTCTTGGGTTTTGGGTGCTGAAACTGTTAAACTCTTTGAGGGAAAAAGTACACTGAAACAAAAACCTTTTTTTTGCATAACATTAATAATATAATTATATTGTTTGGAAATTAGAGAAAGATATCCAAATCACTGATACAGAGCGTGTATATCACATCCAATAAAAGTGGGGTTTGGCGGTAAAAGTCAGGAGGGCGCGTGGAGTATAAGGGATGTTCACATATACTCCTTTTTCAAATGACTACCGACTCTTGGCTCTTCCCTAGCTGTTAGGATATTGAGGTTTAACATGCAAATAAATTATTTGATAAATAAATAAAAATACTGCATTTAATATAGAAATTAATAAGTCTTTTTTAAGTTTCAAAATAAAATGGAAAAAATTACAATACAACATTTTTACTAATATTCTAGGTGTTAACAGATGCATGAAAATTAGAATGTGATTAATTTTTTTATTAATCTAAGTATAATGTAATATTTGATTAAATATAAATTTTAACTATTTTTGATATTAAATGATTCCATTTTTTACATCTATAATACTCTAACCCAAATTTTCAGAAATATCAACTATTTTTTTACCATAAAAACTATTGATTCGTGCGTGATTAAAGTTGAAAAAGAATTAAAAAGGCTTAAATGATTATTGTCCGAAATCCGTTCGTGGTTATGACTTTGTACTTGGGTTGGTACTTGATGGATAAACGTATGTTTGGTTTACTTTATTAATGTTACGGTTAAAGTATATCGAAATTTATTAAATTATATCGATAGATTAATTTAAGTATAAGTAGCTTGGTATCATTCAAGTAAATCTTAAGTTTAAGACCTTTCATATGCATAAAATCATCGTTGGGAAACACATCCACTAAAATCAATGTCTAACACGGATCAATCTAGATTAGTCGAGACAAAACATTAGAGAATAGTGAAGGTAACCAAAAACAATTTATTAAATTATATCTAAATATTAATTAGAAAATTATAATATATACATTTGATAAATTTAATGATTATTTTATGAAAGTTACTCGTACTTTTATTTTTTTAATTTAATCTTAAAATGTAAAAGTAAATAAATAAATAAATTCATAACTTTGTTAAAATTATCTTTATTTATCAACATATTTATTAATTATTGTAAAATTTAGGGATGTAAATGAGTCGAGTTAAATTTGAGTATTGTTGAGTTCGATTCGAAATATCGTGAGCTTAAAATTTTCAAACTTGGCTCAAACTTGAATTTAAAAATAAAAGTTTGACTTGAGTTCGAAAAAAAACTTGAACTTAAAACATTCTCATACTTAACTTGATTGAAGCTCAAACTTAAATATAAACAATAACTACATAAAAACTTTATATTACATTTTAAAAATAACATATAAATATCTTTGTTTTCCTAACTAATTATCTACATTCGAATTTTTTTCTAATAATAATTTAATCCTAATTAAGCCTCTAATATTATTACTTGCATGCATTTTTACGTTATTTTTCTGTAATTTTAGCATTAATGTCTAGCAACTTTTGGGGGTTTCTCTTACATGTTATGCTAGTTTAGATTGTCTTTCTATTTTGTATGATTACTTTAAATATAAAAGGTTAAAATCAATTAAATGAACATTTATCAAATACATATTCGAAATTAATATTTAATTTGATTAAAGATAAATAATAACGAATTATGAAAAAAGACATTATAGTATTCATATTGAATAGCAGGTTGGCCCAATAATAAAACGTCATTGCTATGTTTGATTGACCTATGATCTACCACATTAATAACATCTTTTTACCAATAATCATATAATTATTGACAAGACCTAATCTTTTTAATTGTTGGATTAGATTGCTACTACTTTTTTAGTTCCAATGAAATGAACATCTAACTAATCATAATATAAAATATTAATAAAAATAATTCATTTGTATTTTTTTATTAATTTTCCCTTATATTTGGGTGGATTAAAGTTTTACCATGTAGAGGAAGACGAAGACAAAAATATAGCTGGCATTGGAGAAGATACAGGTGATTGACCTAGAATCCCCCGTGGATAAGAACTGCATAGGGATGGGTGGGGCAAATTGTCCCCAGTTTTAAATACTTTTTTTGTTCTTTTATATTTAATTAAATAAATTTATATGTTGTGAAATTTTATTATTATTTTATTTTAAAAATATTTGAATATTCATACTTTTTCTGAATTATTAAATAAGAAGTTATTATTTAATATAGGGGTATTTTAGAATAAAATACCCCTTAGTTGGATGAAAACCAATAGTGCATCTTATGATAAATAATAATACCTAAAGCAATTAAGCATCTAACACTTTGATTATTATTCATCAAAATCACTGTTGAAATATCCCACCAAACCCTTTTTAGCAATAAAAGAAGCTATTATGATAAATTATTCAATATGTATAGTTGGTATTAGCACTTTGCAAAAAAGAGAGAGACTTATTAGTTATCATTTGTTACAGTGTAAAAAAAGAAAAGAATATGTCCATTATGTTTTAAAAAACATTTAACAATGGTTTTGGAATGAAACTAATGGAATCATCATTAAAGCTAAGCTTGAGATTTTGATTGATTTGCAACACTTTTTATCGTTTAAATTCATTTATTCAAATCAGGTACACTTTTTTTTTTCTATTTTAAAGATTTAAACTAAAGGTAAGTTTTTAAAAAATCATTATAATTGGGTGAAAATTGTTTATGTTAAGGATCCAAGAGTTGTTTTAGGTCATGTCTAATAATTTGATTATCTTTGAAATCACTCAAAAAAATTCATGGCAATGAGTACCATTTCTCAAACAAATTAACTTTTTTATTTGATGAATGTATATAAGGGTGTAAATCAACATAATGTTTAACATTTGTTTGTGAATCGTTTGTGTAATGTTTGTTTATGTTCATTTATTAAATTAAATAAATGCGTATGAATAATTTTTTTATGTTCATTTAATAAGCGAATAAACACGACAACCTCATTTATTGGCTCGTTTATCGACTCGATAATAAGTTTGTTTACATGTTTCTCATTTTCCTTTTATTTTTTATATTTTAAATATTGGTGAATATAAGGATTAAATTGAACACAAGATGAACTTTAGAGTTGAACTATGAAGTCTCATGAGCTTAAGGACGAGTGGCATAATTTTATCATTTTATTAAACATATAAATAAACATATTTGAGAACGTTAAACGAACCGAACATAATCACCTTCAAAAATGAAACAAACGAACACGAACATGATATTAAAAATTTAAATGAACAAGAACCAAATATGAACACTTAAAAAAACAAATGAATATGAACACAACATTATTCATTCAAACTCAATCGTTTACACCCCTAAATGCATAATTCATGAAACTCTCATGATAATTGCATATACAAAATATTATTTGGTACATTAATAGTGAATTTTTTGTGTTAAAAAATTATCATATCTACTTGATTAATGTTTTAGAAAATACAAAGTAAATTAATAAGATAGATGACGAATTTTTTTAATTCAATTATAAATTTAAGAAAAATTGTACTATCAATATATCAAATAATAATTTTACATGGGAAAAAAAACATTGGGATGGGAGAAAGGAATGGTCCTTACAAGGACCAAACTAAAAGAGCAAGTTTGTCCTCAAAGTGAAGTTACGAAACTGACATTTTGGATAAGAATCTGACCCATTTCTAGCTGTCCAACAAACATGGCGTTTTTTTTTTTCCAAAAATCATATGTGGTTGGTATATTTATTGATCTAACATCGATCAGATTATATTTTTTAATCTAACACCGTAGCAATAAAGCGTGCTCTCTGTCCCGCGTTATATACTGATTTGGCGCCACGTGGGGTATAGCGCGTCCATGTACCGCGCTATATGCTGACATGACTTATACGTAGGTATAGCGCCCCCCTGATCCTCGCTATACTTGAATATCTGACAGAATTATATTTAGCGCGGACCAATACATTTTATCTGAATAATTACATATAGCGCGATGTAGGTACCGCGCCTTATATGGTTATAAATACCCTTCACTCCCGGTTAAGTTTCTCACATCTCTCCTCTCAACTTATAAATTAATACAACAATTCCGTCAACGAGTAATAATTCTGGTAATTTTATCATATTTTATTTAGAAGTTCGTGCGATTTCTCGTTATAAATTTTTTATAATTTTTTTATTATACTTATTGTTTATTATGATTATTTGAAAAAATATTATACTAATTATTTTCAATTAATTTTTGTGTTTGTAAAATTGAAAAGCATGAACATACGTCAAAATAGTTTTGCGGTGCAGTAATAATATAAAATTATATTATTTAAATTATTTACGTTGATGTGTAAAAAATTTATTGTGTTATATTTTTGTTAATATATAATTTATTTAATCAGGTTTGTTTCAGTTATTTTTTTTGCAGATATAATATTGCCGCACTTTTAAACTCATAGAATGTCGCGACTTTCAGCTATTGTTTATTATGATGGTGAAATTTGAGAAGATGAAACTGGCGTTGTTTTCGTATCAAATGAGCGTGTTAAAATATCATTCAAGAGAAACATAACTCTTGAGGAGCTGATAACGAAGATTTCGAGGAAGATTCATGTTGGAAGTAGTAGAAGAATGTCGTCGTTGCAGTACAGATTTCCAACATCATTGTTGTCATTAATTTGTACAGCGTTCGAACTTTCGAACAATGATGATGTTCAAATGATGGTTGAAGCTCAAAGTAATTATTCAGACGCCCCTATTGAGATGTATGCATATTTTGTTCAAGTGTGTGCTGTTCGGGGTCAATCATTAAGCTCCACTATGGGCTGGTTGAACAAGTTGATCAAGTTGACAGCCCGACTACAGTAATGTGTAATGATTTTAATGCCATAATAGAGAGACATTCATCCGCAACTCCTTACGATATGTACCGAGGTGGGTTCACGAACAATCTGTATGGTAACACCGCGTCCAGTTCAAGGGGAAGGCATTCATCTGCAAA